ATTTTGTTATATGACTATGCGAAGTCCAGTTTTCCTTTAAATGGTACAGATCCCTATTTTGAGGGTGAGCCAACCCACCCAGAGTTGTCTTCAGTATCAAAGTCATAAATCGCATCACTGGTACTGTCCCAGCTAGCACAGGCCGTGTTCATTGGGCCCTGGGTGAGATGAGTTTTACTGGACAGGGTCTGTTGTCATCTGCTATGGAGCACTTGGACTGCAGCCCGTTGCAGTCATCATACTGCAAGACCAAACCTGTAGATACTTTCTCGCCTGAAAGGATTGGATAAAAGATCTAGATGCCCTGTGTGTCTTGCAGAGTCCCTTTGTAGGTAAATATGGTTGGGTAGGAGAGATGTTACTTTGTCAGGCCAGATACCTCCGGCATGAAATTTGATTCTATCCCATCTCTGTTGACAGTTTTATCCTCCATCGTTGTTCCTGTCCTCCCGGGAAGTCCGTCCGCGATACCGCAACTAGCTTATCTGTCTTCATTACTCCTCTCCCTCGGGAGCCCGAGGAACGCTGTTAAACACTGCTACGTGACAACCCCTTCAATGAACCCAATGGCTTGAAACAATGACCAGTTATTTTTCTTGCGGTCTGCGGGTGGGCTGGGTGATTCGATGGGGCCAGACTCCGCTGATCTTGGCTGGCTCATTCAGAAATCTGTGCTTGGCTGGGCCTAGGTGATCTGGGCTGGCCTCAGCTGAGTTGACCCACCTCCATTCCATGTGGTCTCTCACCTTCCAGCATTCTAGCCTAGGCTTCTTGTCATGGCAGAGGCAGAGGTCCAGAAAACAAACAACCTCCCACCCCCGCCGCCAACCAGCAGAGTGTGCACCACCTCTTGGGATCTAGACTCGAACGTGCATGCTAGTCCCTTCTGCAGTGTGTCACAGGCCAGTCCAGATTCACTGCGTGGAGAAATAGACTCTGCCTCTTAATGAGGGGGACCCGGGAAGTCCCATTGAACGTGCGGTAGACCCAGGGAGGCGTAGAGAATACGGCCATTTTTGTAGTCAGCCCGCTGCATAGATTAGGGATCAGCAAACGTTTTCTGTCTGTCCGTGGTCAAAATAGTAAACGTTTCAGGCTTTGTGGGCCACATAGTCTTTGTTATGACTCCTCAGCCCTGATCTTGTTACGGGGAAGCAGCCGTAGACAGTATGTGAATGCCTGGGCGTGCTTCGCCTTCCACTGAAACTTTTTATTTACAAAGCCAGCAGGTGCTGATCCGGACCGCGGAGGGCTCTCAGATCCAGGTTCTCGGATGTCGGCCTTCCTGAAACCAAGGCCTTGAGGCCATAAGCATGGGTGGCATCTGTCAGAAGTGCTCGTATTGGCGAGAAGAAATAAAAACAGATAAGAGGAGATAAGTGACTCCCTGCTAAGTATCCATTTGGGGTTGTTCCTTGTACAGTAATGGACGTACATAGGTTGAGTTTATTTCTCAGTTAGCGAGTCCTCGGAGTTCACTTTGTCGCTCCCCTGTTTGGCTGGATTCTCATTCCTTAGCCATCCGCCTCTCCCAGATGGATTCCAGATAGAATTCTAACCTGTATGTCCTCTTCTGACACTTCTCCTGGATCCTTCTGTCTCACCTAATCCCAGAGTCAGAAGTGACCTCAGCACCTCCTTCTGGGCTCCCAGTGAGCCCCCGATTAGATCTACAAGTTAGATCTTGTTTATTTTCCTACCATTTACGTGTCTAAGTGTCACAACCGTGACATGTTCCATCAAAATTTAAAGATGTTAACTATCCTCGAGAGTGGCTTTTTGGTTCAACCATCACTGCCTGGAGTTGTTGTTTGACTAGAGATTCTGGTTAAATTTCAGGTAACCTGAACTCCCTTTTCATAGAATGTCCAAGTCTCTGCCGTTCTTCTAGGCTGGTTTTTCCTCACGAGGGCTCTCCATTGTGGGTCAACAGTCGGCTGCCTTATTTTTCCCATCAGAGATTTTCTGTGCCACATATAACACAAAGCTATTACCACCTTGTTTTTTGTGGAAATGAGAACGAAGTCTTTGCTTTCTAATTTTACTCCTTCCCTTTTATTAGTGGTTGCTACTGACTTATGCAACATGACTCTTCCCTGGGTACTCATCAACGGGTATACTTTTCAGCTTGGCATGGCTCAGGCCTCAGACTTTTAAAGTTTTAAAGCAGCCGAGTTGCACAGACCGTCAATAAATCACTCACTATCGCCACTTTATTGCTTGTAAGGTGATTACCCCGCTTTGCCCATAGCGACTTTTCAATTTGATTAAAATGCAGTTTCATCAGGTCGTGGTTGAGTCCTCCGTATGTAAAAATACATAAAGCAATGAGGGTACCCAGGCTCCAGTATTTTTATAACTGCCCTTCACCTCCTTAACCATTGACTCCAGCACTTCTGTGGTCCTCGGCCTATAATTCACATTTCCATGCTCTTTGCCAAAGTGATTTTTATTTAGTGCTTATTCCAACCTCTTGTCTTTGTGAGACTGTAGTACTTTTTTTCCCTGCTAACTGCTGGGGGAGCGTTGGTCCTGCTGCAGAGCATTTTCTGCACCTCAGATTAGCTCCTGTGTGATGTGTAAATCAGGCTCTGATGGTGGTATAACGTGGAAGCTGTCTTGGTTTATTCGGGGTTGCTTTCCAGACCCAGGGAGCCAGGAGAGTGGGAGTAGAATTGTTATCTTAGGCAGGAAAAGGAGAAACTCTCAGCTTGGCTACTGTCCTGGCAGCAGGAGCCCTTTTGACTGTATTTTAAGAAAAATGAAAAGTGAGCGCCTGTAACCCCGGTTTCCTTGCCCAGGGCGGTGTGCTGCCAGCCGGGCGTGGCTCTTGGCTTGTCTTGGTCTGTTTGCGCTGCTGTGATCAAATCCCACAGACTGGGGGGCTTCTACACACGAGACGTTCATTCCTCACGCTTCTGGAGGCTGGAAGTCTGACATCGGGGTCGGGGGGCGGTGCTGGCAAGGTTGGGTAAGGGCCCTCTTCTCCGCCAGAGACTTCTCGTGTCCTCACACGACGGAAGGGGTGACGGAGCACTCTGGGGTCTCTTTTATAAGGTTTTGTCTTCCCGACCTAGTCACCTCCCAAAGGCCCCACCTCCTAACACCGTCACACTGCGGGATGGGGTTTCAGCATGCGAATTTCTGGGGCGCACACACCAGACCAGAACATGCGGCACATGGCAGGTTGTCCATCTCCAGGGGCTCCCCCGCCTCTGCCCCGCACCCCCTAAACAGGGCCGCTGCCCTCACGGATTGCCTTGGCTTCCACAGCGAGATAATGTCGGGTCGGCATTTCACTCCACTCTTGCTGTGTGGTTTGAATACCCGCGTGCTTCGTACTTCATCTCACAGGATTATAGGTTTAGGTGCAGGGACTGGATTGGGACTGGTATGCTCTGACCCCGTTTGCCCCTCCAGCCCTCTCGTTTTGACGCCTTGCTCTTTGCAGAACTTGAGGTTTTTCAGAGATGCGTGTGCTCGAACTTCATACTTCACGGTTGTGCATTGGCCTCCCCACTAAAATGTTCTCGTAACCCCCAAATTGGTACATGGGGGACTCTCCCGGTTACTCACAGACGTGTGTGCGCAGAGTCGCACGAAGTTCGAGTCACCCGAAAAGCACACTCCTGGCCCCGCCATCTTACTTCATTCAGCTCTGACTATGAACAAGTGTCCTTTGTACAGACTGTTTAATGCCACGTTTTTCACATTTTTGTGCCTTTTTTTTTTTTTTATTGGTAATTCACTGTTTGTCATGGGCCCGAAATGCAGGGCTGGAAGGTCTCTGGTGTCTCCAGGTGCGAGAAGGCAGCGGTGCGCTTAGTAGAGAGAAGCCGTTGGGCAGATAAGCTTCGTTCAAGTATGAATTGTAGTGAGGCAGTCGGGATTTCAGTGTGTTAACGAATCAGTGGTATATGTTCAAGAAGATGTCTTTTTTTTTTTTTAAAGATTTATTTATTTGACAGAGATCACAAGTAGGCAGAGAGGCAGGCAGAGAGAGTGGGGAGCAGGCTCCCCGCTGAGCAGAGAGCCCGATGTGGGGCTCGATCCCAGGACGCTGAGACTATGACCTGAGCCGAAGGCAGAGGCTTCACCCACTGATCCACCGGGGCGCCCTTCAAGAAGATGTTTTAAAACAGAAACACAGAAAGCGGGGTTGTGTATTGACTGGTTTACAAAAACATGACCAGAGGCTTGTAGGAACCCAGCCCTACATAGCTCTTAGGGACATCGCTTCGGTAGTCGCTAACTTGTTCGTGGTGATTTATAGAACGTAACGGGTGCAGATAACAAAACTCAACTGAGCTACAGACCGAAGGTTGGTGTCTCCCCCAAATTCACGTGTTGGAACCCAACCCTCAATGGGATGGTGTTAGGAGGTGCGGGCCTTGGACCGTGGTCAGGCCGGGAGAGCTGAGCCCCCACCAGTGGGATCGGTGTCCTTATAAAAGAGAGCCCGGAGAGCTCCACGGTTGTTTCCGACACATGAAGACACAGCAAGAAGATGGCTGCCTATGGGGGTGCCTGGGTGGCTCAGTGGGTTAAAGCCTCTGCCTTTGGCTCAGGTCATGATCCCGGGGTCCTGGGATCGAGACCCGCATTGGGCTCTCTGCTCAGCAGGGAGCCTGCTTCTGCCTCTCTCTGCCTACTTGTGATGTCTGCCTGTCAAATAAATAAATAAAAATCTTAAAAAAAAAAAGATGGCTGCCTATGAACCAGGATGAGGGTCTTCACTGGACACCGACCCTGCAGTGCCTTGATCTTGGACTAGTAGCCTCCAAGAGTGCGAGGGAGACATTTCTGTTCCTAAGCCGCCCCGTCGGCGCTCTGTTACAGCAGCCTGAAGGGGCTAAGACGGAGCGTATCTGTATTTCGTGGCAGCAGAGATGCCCGTGCGGAAGCGATTTTTGTGTAAGAAATTGCTACGTGTGGCTTGCTCTGCCGTGTCTCTGCGGATGTCCTGAGTGACGGTTTTCATCCCAGGCTTTCTCTCCCAGGTGTAACTAGCATGGTCAATGCCGGAGCGATGAGCGGCTCTGGAAACCTGATGGATTTCCTTGACGAGCCTTTCCCTGATGTGGGGACGTACGAGGACTTCCACACCATCGACTGGCTGCGGGAGAAGTCCCGGGACACCGACAGACACAGAAAGGTGGGTGGCATTCACGAAGGCGTGTCGGAGGCGCTCCCTCCGGGGGCGGTCGCCGAGGTAGGGTTAGCTCACCTGTCACATGCTGGGCTAGAGTCCGAGGAAGAGAAGAGAAGGGCTAGCGAGGCAGGCAGAGCCGTGGACAGGCGATCACGAGGTGGCCCGCTTGGGGCGGGAGGCTGTGTCCTACAGAGGTGCGGTGTGGAGGGCGATGAGGGGACTCCGGAAACTGACGAATCAAGTACATCCCGCCCTCAACGCCTTGAGGCTGGGTGAGCTCTGGGGCGCTGTTTCTAGACCCTGGTTTCCGCTCTGCAAGGCTGGAGGTCGTTCTGTCTGCAGATCGAGGGAGCTGCGTGTGTATGAAAGCACAGACCGCAGGGCCTGGCAGCTCGTGGGCCATCAGTCTCTATTTTCGCGGCCACCATAAGGCTGGGTGTAAGTGCTGTGGGATCATTCAGGCGGGACGGTTAGGGAAGGGTTTTTTAGAGATGGTGACATTTCTGTCGGGCCTTGGAGGTGGACTAGGAGTTTACTACGCGGAGAAAGGAGAAAAGATTCTAAAATCAGGAGGGGCCCTTTTTTAAGTCACAGAGGCCTGAGAGAACACAGCCCAGTAGACGGTTCAGAAGCTCTGCGGCTTGGGGGAGGGCCCCCCAGGAGGGGAGGACGTGGGCAGGGGACCGCGCCGGGAACGAGCAAGGAGGCATGAAGACGTGTTTGGGTTTCACCTTCACCGTCACAGAGTAGAAGAAAGGCATACGGCAGAGGGACAGACAGGAGGCTTGGAAGTAAGTTCAGGAGAAAGAGGAAGAAGGTCTGACCAAAGGCAGCGAAGCGCACATGAGAGAGGCTCAGGGTCAAGAGTTACTCAGGGGAGCCCCTGACCGGATTTGGGGGGGCGTTTATTGGGGATGGGCAGGGAGAAGAGTCCCGGATGAGGCTCCGGCCACCGTTAGAAAGGGGGTGATGCGCTCGTTGGCAAGAAGGGAGGAGAGGGGAGCAACAGATGTGAGGGGGAGGCCGGTGAGTTTTGTGTCAGCCACCATGAGTTTGAGCTGTTTTCCCAGCCTGCAGCTGGGGGGTGGGGGTTGGCAGGCAGCAAGTACTCTGAAGTTCAAGGGTGAGGTCAGGGCTCCGGTGCGTGGGGGCGGTGGGGACCCGGCCTGTGAGTGGGCGCTGAAGCTGTAGAAGTGGCCGAGGTGGCCTGGGTGGGTGGAGGGAGAGGTAAGGAGGTGGTCAGCGCTCTGCGCCCTGCCGAGGTTGAGCGGGTGCCGAGGGAGGTGGGGGGTGCCTGGGACAGACACCTGGGAGAGGCAGGGAGAGGTGAGGAGGGGCCCCAGCGAAGTGGTGGCGAGCAAGTGAGGTGGAGTCCAGAAAACTCTCCAGCCTCCGGGCTCTGGTGTGCAGACCGTGGGCGAGGGGACGGCCTGTGGCCCGGAGCAGCGGTTGCTGGACTCTGGCCCTCGGGCCCGGGCCAGCCGGGCACCTGCTCCGGTCAGGACAGTTTCCTTGGAAATCGGCCATGCCCACTTGCCGGCACACTCCTCCCGGCTCCGTCTGGGCCGCCACAGCAGAGCTGAGTGCTCGTGACAGAGGCCGGCTGACCCACAGAGCCCATCATCTTTCCAGAAAATGTTCTAAGGAGTTGTGAGAGGAACGGCGCCTCAGAGCAAGGGTGGGTGGGAGAGGGGTGTCCCCACAGTGTGCTCGGACACGTCCGCCCGCCCGGCGAAGGTGAACCATGCCCGCCGATGCACAGTTCCAGCTGTTAACATCTGACCTTGAAGACAAAAGAAGGCTTCATGAGCAGACCATCCGGGGAGGGTGAAAGTGGTCATTCTGATTTAAAACCGTGACAAGGAATCGCTGTCTCCCTTCAGAGTGGCCTCTGAATCATCGGGGTTCAAATCACACTTAGGAAGTTTTGCAATCAAGTGAACTTGGGGGGGGGGGTGCTTCCAAGTCTTCGGCGGCTGTGATGGCATCTCTCCAACTTGGCCTGAACCCGAAAGCCCATTTTGTCACTGCACTAGGTAGTGGGGAAGGGGGACCAAAGTGGCAATTTAGTTGCTTAATTACATTCATTTTCTCACTTGCCTTGTTTCCTGGAGGAAACCGTTTCAGGGAAGGAAGCGTGAATGGGAAAACGTATCCGGAGTCCGATACCGTGTCTCTCTGTTTCTAGATAACCAGCAAAAGCAAGGAGTCCATATGGGAGTTCATCAAGAGTCTGCTGGACGCCTGGTCAGGCTGGGTGGTGATGCTGCTCATCGGCCTGCTGGCAGGTACGTGGCGGGGGGTGGGGTGCGGGACCCCCGGGCCGGGGCTCCAGGGGCGGGGCCCCAGAGGCCCAACTGTCCCGGTTCAAGCTGGTGTTCTAGAAAGGGACCGATTCTCTTTTACTGTGTGCAAGGGATCTATTACTTGAAATACCTGGGAGCAGAACTCATGACCACACCTTTAACATTAAACGTATCCTCAATAAGGCAAGACTCCAGGGCATAGAGCCCAAATGCAGTCACTTTTGTACTTGGTGAGCCGGCTGGCCGTGTTCACACAGGCCCTGGGGTGAGCTGTGCACACCCTCGGGAACTCAGAGCACGTTCAAGACATGCCCAGGGTCGGAGGGAGGCCCACGGCAAATACCTCCGGCCCGTGCGTTGATCTGACCCTTGGGGATGCTGCGCCCTTAGCTTTTATAACCCCAGCACCAGGCTTGCGAGCAGTTGATGCTTCCAGAGCGAATGGAGGCGTATCTGGAGGGAAAACCTGCCCTTTTACTATCAAACGCACCAGCTCTCCGTGGAAACTCTTTCCGAGATGTACTTCCTTTTAGGAGGCTCTGAAGGTTAAAGTTGAAGAATAAAAAAAACCGAGCACGCTAAAAGCGAGTCCCTTAATAAAAATCACTTACCTGTGATAACATAATAGTGACAGTTACGGGATTGATCAGCGAGTGACTGTCATAAAGGCAGAATATAGTAGATGCTCTAAGAAAGACCGAATGCTAATGGGGCACAGACACAAACTGTGATGACCGAGGAGTCCGATCTCTGGGCATTCTTTCATTTCGTCCGTACCCCGCTATGGGAGGGGCTCACTTGCTGGGAGGGTTCCCGCATTTTCCCAGCTTTAGTGTTCCCTTCCCGGGGCAGTGTTGCCGGGGATTCAATTTCATGGCTATCCCGTGTCTTCGCCACCAATCTGTTTGCTTCCACGAACACCTTTGAAGGCGGGCAGAGTAGGCATTTGCTGTGAATTTTGATGTCTTTATTTAGAAGAGATTTATGAAACTGTGTACCGTATCATGATTCTTGGCTTCTAGGCAGGAAAAATAAATAGAGGAAATGAAGAAATCCGGAATAGATGTTCTAGCATCTGCCGGAGCAGAGAGCAGAGTGTGGATTTACTGACTCCTGTAAGAGCCTGATTAGGCTCTGTTGAATAAATCTGATATTGCCCTCTTGGTTTCCCCGTCTGCCCAATTTCTGCCAGTCCTTTCTGGAAGACTCCCCTGGGGAATGAAAGCAAAAAATTTTGCTGCCTGAGCTTCAAGAGTCTCCCTGGAGATGGTACCCTAGCATTGGGGAGAGCCCCCCTCCCTCATCCCAGCCCCCATCCATGATCCTAATGTGGGGCCAGGGTTGGGGTCCCCCACCCCGGCGAGGGGTGCTCTGGGCACACCCTCCAGAAGAATACAGGAGGACAGTGAGAAGGCGGGGGGACGCTGACAGTGCAGGTGGCTACAGAGTGCCGTGAAGGGAGAGCCAGCAAATCGTGTCCCCTTCGCTGTGCTCCTCTCCAGCTGTCCTGACAGTGGGGAGGACTCAGGGGTCCCCCTGGCTTGGCCAGCCCTCCCTCTGCAGCTGCATCCTGGACGGGGTGTTTTGACTCTCACAATGGTGAGGCCGGCGGCTCCTCTGCGGGGCGCTTCTTGCGAGTCCCCACTGGGTGTCGCTGTTGTTCCACCGAACGAAGCCGGCTGCGCAGTGCTGCCTCCTGGCCAAGATCAAGATTGAGGCCTAGAGAGGGAGCGGGACTTGGAGCCGGCGCTCAGGGAGGGCCTCAAGTGCCAGGAGACGTTTGAACAAAGACCTAAAGAAGGCAAGGGGGTTAGACCCAGTGATCCTCTGATCTTCTCTCTGTGGGCCTCGTGCCCCTCACCTCAGTGCATGTGTGTGTGTGTGTGTGTGTGTGTGTGTACAAGCTTTATTAAGATAGTGTTCACATTGCACACCGTTCACCTCGTCGGAGTGTACAGTGTGGCGGTTTCTGATGCGTTCAGAGTTGCAAAACCCTCACTGTAGCCCCTTTTCGAACATTCTCTCCGGCCCCCAAAGGATCTCCACAGCCCTGGCTACCAAGGCCCGCAGCCCCCAGCCGCCTCCCAGCCCCAGGATGCTGCTGACCCTAACTTGTGGCCCCCCACATTGGCCCGGCCTGGCCATCTCGGGGTGGCGGGAGCCTCCCGCACGGGGTCCTGCGATCAGCCTCCGCACTCGGCGTCACGGTGCTGCGCCCCATCAGCTCCGCTCGTTTTTGCTGCCAAGTTCGAGTGCGTTGCGTGGCTGGAGCCCATCTGACCCGGCCGTTCCGCAGGATGGGGCTCGGGGCTGTTTCCGGTCTTTGGCTCCTGCGAATAGTGCCGCCGTGAGCATTCCGCGTGCGCGTGTCGCATAGACGCGTGGACTTGCTGAGTCAGATGGCAGCTGTGTGTTACCTGAGGGACTGCCGCGCTGTTTCCCAGAGGGGCCGCACCGTTGTCACGGGCTGCAGTTTGCTCCCTAGCACTTAGCTGCCTTCTCACAGAGCCCCTGATTTCCTTCCGCTCTCCAGTGGCCCGCCTCCCTGTGACGTGCGGTGCCGCGGAGGCAGGGATCTGAGCCTGCTGCGTTCACTGCCATTTCCCAGGGGTGTGCGACAGGGACTAGCTCATAGGCACTCGGTGCTCAGTAACTACCCCTCGAGTAAATGGATCGATCTGGGTTTTCTGATTTTCATTCATTCATTTACTGCCCCATGGAAATGAAGTTCTTGCCACGTACCTGATACATAAAAAGTGGACAAGGCAGGTGGCCCTTGCCTGCTTAGAGTGGACACGCAGTCTGAACATCTGGCCTGACCCCTACCTTGGTGTGTAAACCACACTACACAACTCCCCCCCACACACACTTAGGGCCTAGACACTGTACACACACACACACGCGTGGGATGAGGATATGAGTTGTGATGATGGGGGAATGACCGGGAACTATGCCTAGCCCAGACTTGGACTTCCCGGGAAAGGCTTCCTGGAAGAAGTGATGTAAATATTGAATCTGGAAGATAAGTAGGAGCTTGCCGGGTCCGTGGCGGGGCAGTGCTGACTGAGGTGGTGGAGAGAGGCGAACCAGGGGCGCTCCAGGAACATGGTGTGGGCAGGATGGGGGTGTTAGTGATGGAGAGAGGTGAGGCGGGGAGGGCTTGAGGGGCCAGCTGTTCGAGTCTGGCACCTGCAAAGGATTCGGGTGATCTCCGAAGAACAGTGGACGCTTTCGATGTAATGGGGGAGCAGGGAAGGGCCAACCCTGATGCAGGTGTATGGGTGCAGGTGGGGAACTGATATTGTTAGAAGGATCCAGTAAAAGTTTAAAAAATTTAGTAGCCTGAAAGTATTCCCTGCCTCTGTAAAAGACTCTGGAACTATATGGGTTATTCAGAAGGAGATCCAAGGTAGCCTCCCGTGGCCCACTGCACACTCTAAGATATCTCCCTTTATGTACCTTTAAAGTAGTTACCTACTTACATAGATCCACAATCCCTTATCCATGATTTTAAAATCCAGAAAGTTCTAACAAGTGGGATTTTCCAAATTTGGTTCCCATTTGGTGGAAAAACCTTACTTAAATGATGAGGCTGTTATGGTCCTCATGCCTCCCTTGTGTCTGGATTGTCAGGTTTGCTTGAGAAATATTTAAAGTGTGTGATCCCAGCATCAGGGCCCAGAAACCACTGAGGGGGTAGCCTCATTTATAGGGCCTGTGTACCCTGTTTCTAGGATTTGGAAGGGATGAATTTTGAAAACTGCTTGGCCCTAGTGGCTTGTGAGAACTTACGCCCTGAATGTCTGTCGTTCCTGCCGGATTTCAGCCACCCAAGCACCACCCGTCCTCAGCCTCTGTTTCTTGTTGGGGCTGGGCGTGGCCTTGGTCACACCGGGAGTGCTCAGGAGACCTCTCTCGTGCCCCATCCGCAGCATGGTCCCCCCCTCCCCCGGCACGGCCTGCCCTGCTGCTGGGCTCCCGCGTCGGCCCCCGGGCCCTGTGTTCTCCCGCCTCATCACAGGACGCTTCCTCTGAGTGGCTCTCGCTGCTTCTTCTAGGCACCTTGGCTGGAGTCATTGATCTCGCCGTGGACTGGATGACCGACTTGAAGGAGGGGGTCTGCCTGTCCGCCTTCTGGTACAGCCACGAGCAGTGCTGCTGGACTTCCAACGAGACCACTTTTGAGGACAGGGACAAGTGTCCCCTCTGGCAGAAATGGTCGGAGCTGCTGGTAAATCAGTCGGAGGTGGGTTTCTGGGCAGGGTCCTGGCTGGGAGCCCCTGCCGCTCCGCAGGCACGTTGGCACAGCCCTGGGCCTTCTGTGGCTGCTCGTGCTTCCTTCCAGTGTCTGTTCTGATGACCGTCCTTGGCTCAGTCCCAGTGCGCCTTGGCTTCCTCTGGCTCTGATGCGCAAACTTGAGTCGGAAAAGCTTTCCCTACTGATTCATGTGCACGATATATGTATGTATTTGTCAAAGTCTTGTTTTTCCTTCCCGAGAGGGATGTGCTGACTGTGCTGAAGAAACAGGGCTGCTTTTTATACCTTCCGATATGAAAAGAAGTTATCTTTTTTTTTTTTTTTTTACAAAAAACAGTACCAGCTTTAGTGAGATACGATTCACATTCTACATGGCTTGCCTGTTTAAAATGTTCAGGGCCCTGGTTTTTAGAAGATTCGGAGTTGTGCTGCCGTCACCACAATACAATTCTGTAACACCTTCATCATCCCAAAAGAACCGTTGTACCCATTGGCAGCCACTCCCCATTCCTCCCAACCCACCAGCCCTAAGCAACCCCTGATCTCTTTGTCTCCAAGTGGAGTCCTACACTGTGCGGAGTAGAGTGCTAAAAATAACTAACTCAGTGTGCCCACTTCTTTCACTCAGCATCACGTTTTTCAGGTTCATGCTGTAGGATGAATTGCCATTCCCTTCCTTTTTGTGGCTGAATCCTATTTCACCGTATGGCTCGACCATACTTAGCCACTCGGTAGTAGATGAACGTGGACTGCTTCCCCTCTTGTGCCGTTAGGAATGATTTTGTTTTGAGCGTTTGTATACAGGTTTTTGCGTGGGCTTATTTTTCATCTCTCTTGGGGCTCGACTTAGTTGGCGAATTGCTGTGTCCTTGTGGTAACTCGGTGTTAAACCTTTGGAGGAGTATTTTCAAGAGTGAGTTCCCCATTTTCCAACGCCACCAGCCGTGTGCGTGGGGATTTCCGGCACTTGTGATAGTCTGGGTTCGATTCTAGCCGTCCTGGCAGGTGTGACGTGCCACCCCACTGTGCTTTAAGTACTCGTCTTCCAAGGCATTTTAAGAGTGCATTGCTGAGGATGTTTCTGGGCCTTCTCTGATAGGAGGGTCCAGGTAGCTACAGACTGGGCGCTTGCCTTCAAGGCACTTAGAGCTTCCCATCTATACAAAAGTCTTCATTCAGGAAAAGGGTTAACTTGTAACTGAATTCAGGGGCCATTACAGTGACTGTGGGTCATGGACAGATCGGAAGCCCAGGTGGGGCAGGGCAGCTAGGTTGGCGAGATTCATGTGAGGGGTAGTGCGAGGGTGTATTTTTAGACGATGGGTGTGGTTTATCCCTTTTCTCCCCTCTACCCCATCCCCAACCACATGCATCCCCCCCATGGACTTAATCACAGCTGAAGATGGGCCATTTTGCTAAACCTCTTCCTCAGTAGAATTGAAAATTGATTCTTTCCAATCTCAGAAGGAGACAGGGATCTTGAAATCTCCCATGTTCTCAGTGCTCTCCATTTCTTCCCAAAATAAGTTCTCTACTTGGGTTGATGGGAGTGGACAGGCAGAATTGGCTGGATACCATATTTTATTTCTTGTTCCTACTTACAATACGTTTTTTTGTTGGGGGGAATATGGCTGTTCATCTTTTCAGCCGTTTCTAAGATTTATACTTTGATTCAAAGAAGAGCTGTTAGTAAGAATGAGAAGTTATTTTTACTCTCAAAAAAGTATGGTTTTAAGTGGCTGAAATGTATTCCTCAGTCTGACACTCTTGCACAGGGTGTGAATAAAGGTGATGGCCAAGGCCAGAGCGGTCTCCTGGAATGTGGTTCGGCATTTCCTAGGCGCACGTGTGGCCTTCTCCATGGCCTGACTTGTTGGTGACCTCGCTTTCCTTCGCCCCTCAATGGGCTAACCCAGATGGTGGTGTGAAGCTGAGGCCACCGGAAATGTCCCCATCCCACAGACCAGGTCCTCAGGGTCGAAGACCCCAGACTGCGTATTCTTCATTCATCAGATAATTTGGAATAAGTGCTTCAGTGCGTGAACCTGCAGGAGAAGCTCATGTTTTGCCCTCGCAGTGCCGGCCGGCTTTTGCCCAAACACATTTTGCGCCCCCCCCCACCCCCCCGTGTCTGACTCGGCAGCCCTGGGATAGGGCCTTGAGTGTCTGCATTTCGCCCACGGGGCCTGGACCACAGCGGGATACGGGGCTGCCACTGGCCTACGGGAGGACCGAGAGAGGCCAGTCCACCGCGGATGGGACCAGACGAACCTTCCAGGGGCTCTGCGGCAGAATTTCCGGCGTCACACTGTTCATGACCTTCAGCGTGACTGATGAGGCCAGCTGCAGGCCCTCTGCCGCACACACGCAGGCGGACATCTCCCCCGGGGGAGGGCAGGTGCAAGCAGCTCCCAGAGGGCCCCCCGGGGCTGGGTCGGTGTGTACCTGCCGGCGCAGTGGCAGCCTCTCTGAAAACTGACACCGGCCTCTCTAGGGACACGGGGCCAGCTGAGCAGCTGTCCCCGGCCAAGGCCCTGCTGTCCCCGAGGAGAGGGTCGGCGGGGGTGGTGCTGGGCTCTGCCTTTGTTCACGTGTCCTTTCTCGTTTTGTGCGTGTTGTTCAGGGCGCCAGTGCTTACATTCTGAATTACCTCATGTACATCCTGTGGGCATTGCTGTTTGCCTTTTTGGCCGTCTCCCTGGTGCGCGTGTTTGCGCCATACGCCTGTGGCTCCGGTATACCAGAGGTGAGTGGTGATCCAGTTTCTTCTGTGCCAGTAATAAGAAAAGCAAATGCTTAGGTGCCCAGCACGGTCCCGAGCATTTGCTATGTGTTAACTCGTTAAGTCCTTACAATGAACCTGTGAGGTGGGTTCTGCTATTTTTCACTTGATAGTTGAGGAAACTGAAGCACAGAGAGGTTAAGCAGCTTGCCTGGGGCTGCACAGCTGGTTTGCTACAAGTTGAACCCAGACGTCTGGCACCAGAATTTATGCTCTGTGTCAGGACTTAATGCTCTTTCTCTTCTCAGATGATTAAATTCTTGTCTTTGCAACCCCGGCATAACTCTCAAAGCCTGTGCAATCAGTTCATTGACCCCATACCTAAATGTGGCCCTTCAGGAACTTGTCAGTACACCTGTGACGTAATGGGGAGAAGACAGTAACGGGGGTTTGTCACTCAGAATGTTGACTGATGAGTCAACCCTCTTAGGAGCGAACTCCCTTGCCACTTTTCCTCTTCTGGTGACAGGGTAGTAGCAATCTTTAAAAAACTTACTTCCACATTCAGGACATGCTCTGTGAACGCACCCCCGAGTTCAGAGTTCTTACGTTGTCTAGCACTTCCATGTAACGTGAGTGTGAGGGAAGTGACCTCATCGACCAAGAGGAATGCTTGTGATCAAACTTCAGACCCAGGAGGATCTACCAGCTAGAATGATGGTAATTGAGTGAGTTCCCCCAAGAGCCCAGACAGTGAACATTTTAGCCAGAAATAAGTTTAAAAGTTCTTTTTTAAAAATTTTTATTTATTTATTTATCTAAGAGAGAGAGAGATCACAAGCAGGCAGAGAGGCAGGCAGAGAGAGAGGGGGAAGCAGGCTCCCCGCCGAGCAGAGAGCCCGATGCGGGGCTCGATCCCAGGACCCTGAGATCACGACCCGAGCTGAAGGCAGTGGCTTTAACCCACTGAGCCACCCAGGTGCCCCAGTTTAAAAGTTCTTATACTGGGGTGTCTGGGTGGCTTAGTTGGTTAAGTGACCGACTCTTGGTTTCAGCTCAGGTCATGATCTCGGCGTCCTGAGATGAGCCCTGTGTGGGGCTCCATACTTAGCACGTAGTCTGCTTGGGACTCACTGTCTCCCTCTGCCCCTGCTCCCTGTGTGTATGCGCACGTGTTCTCTCTCCGTAAAACAAATCAATAAATATATTTTTTAAAAAGTTCTTATATTATCACTATAATCAAGCTGGTGCTTCAGCAGGGTCCCTAGAGGTGGAGAAGGTGAGTTTAAAGATGCGACCGGTGGTGGCAACAGATGCCCATTGGTCCCCGCTCCCCCACACCCACCCTCTTTGGTGGTCCTTGCCAACACGGCTGCTGTTCTGGGCAGTTCCTGGAAAGGGCAGGAGTCCTTGAACGATTGTCAAAAGAGAAGCCCAACGTTGTCCTGTTCCAGGAAAGAGGGAGAGAAAAAAGAATATGTCAGGCCGACTTTGCGTTGGCTTGCATTAACCTGTTGCTGCACGAACCGGAAGAGCAAAGCCGCGGCAGCATCCTGTCGCCTTGGTGAGTCCCTTCTGCTCCCATGCAGCCCAGGAGTTCCCGCGGGTCCCTGGGGCGTGCAGCATTGCATGGGCAAAACCGCCACGCTGCTGGGCCAGACAGCAGCAGGAGCACAACCCTCAGAAATGTCCATCAGTGACGCCTGTGAAAGAGATAGAAACCTAGAAAACCAGTAGCCCAGGGACCTGGCTCAGTCTTTAAGCCTCTGCCTTCAGCTCAGGTCCCGATCCCGGAGTCCTGGGATCGAGTCCCACTCCTCGCTTAGTGGGAAGTCCGCTTCTCCCTCTGCCTGTCCGTCCCACTGCTTGTGCTCTCTCTCTCTCTCTCTCTCCCTGACAAATACGTTAATAAAATCTTAAAAGAAAACCCCAGTAGCCTGGCTTACACATGTGAAACGGTTAAGAAACATAGACTCGCTAGTGCACGTGTGAACTGGTGGCCGTTGGAGGCCCATGCTGTGTGCGTTTTGTGCCTTCCTGTCCCGCTCTGTTTGGCTGGGGCCATTTTCCACGCGCATTTCATGTTTCTCCCAGATGAAATTGGGCAAAAACAGACGCGAAATTTGCATTATGCTCTAGTTCTTCCCCAATGCACAAGTCACACTGAAACAAATTTGTGTTTGCAAAACCAGCGTTACAGCAGAACGGACTGTGTCATATTTGGTGTCTTGGAGCTGAGGCCCCCGGACACTAAAAAGTGCAGACTGGCATTGGGCTCTCCGTCCGACGATCCCACCGCCTGACCGTAGGCTCTCTGGGACCCAAACTGCCTTTCCAAAATGAGCAGGTGGCCGATGGGGAATTGGAGAGTTTAAAGCAGTAATAAAAGGGGTGATGCGCCTTGCCATCTCCCCGTTTCAACAACCGGAGACACCTGGCTCAGCTTGGGATCTTGTAGACAGACCGGGGGCTTGGACGTGAACTCTGTCTGTGAGGGGCTCCCTGGACTTGGTCTTTGTCCAAAGAGGGCATGTATTTGTGACAGCTGAACTCAAGAAGAGTTAAATCCAAAGCTGAGTGTGACGATCGCGATGTAGTGGACGTGCAAGGCACACGCTGGTGTGCATGAAACTCAGGAAAGCAGCGGCCAGAGTTATGTAGAGTATGATTCTGTTTATACGAAGTCCACACACAGCCACAGTGAAAGCACACACTGTTTACTGACACGCACGTGTGCTAAACGTGTAAAGGCGGGCAAGGAAATGATTGGGCCGGGGAGGAGGAAGGATCCACCCAGGAAGCCAATACACGGTTTTCCTAGGTACCCAGTCTTCTCTCCGGTGTGCTGGTGGGTGCACGGGTGCTTGTTTTATTAATACATTCTAACTACACATCACACATAACAGATTCGTTTCTCAATTTGTGAAAGAGTTCGCAATAATCTTTTTTTAAAGACTTTATTTATTTGAGAGGAACAGCGTGTGCACACAAGTTGGGGTGAGGGAGTAGGGGCAGAGGGAGAAGCAGGCTCCCCGCTGAGCAGGGAGCCCAATGCTGGGACTCGAACTCAGGACCCTGGGATCATAACCTGAGACAAAGGCAGACGCTTCACCGACGGAGCCACCCAGGCGCCCCCACAATAATCTCTTAGGATTATTCCTCCAGGAACCCAGTTGAGGTCTTATAATTTAGTTTTGGTTACTATGACTCAGCAGTAGCAGAATTCTCACTGTTATTATAGGAGAGCTTGCAATCCCTAATCTTAGGGTCCAGCTCTCAGAGGAAAGGGGCAGGGTAAAAAGGAAATATAAATAAATGTTTCATGTGTAAAAAGAGCCTCCTAGTCGAAACCCAGCTAGCTGTGTAAACGGACTTCACTCAGATTGAGCTACAGCCCCATTCTCTCTCCTGTCACGTAGCGCGCAGTGTCAGAGCGCACTTAGGCCCGGGTGCCCTTCGGCAACATCTACCCATTGCTTGTCCTCCCCAGCCTTTGCTTCGGAAACATTTTGATCGCCTAGAATGGACATTCCTTTGGAAACACTGGTAAAAATGCAGATTGAGAGAACACTGATTTTTGTGTAACAAATGCTCTAGTTTAAGCTCTATGAAGCACCTGAAAAGTGTCCTCGGACTGGGGAGTTAGAAGTAGGCAAGGGTGGGGCGCCTGGGTGGCTCAGTGGGTTAAGCCGCTGCCTTCGGCTCAGGTCATGATCTCAGAGACCTGGGATCGAGCCCCGCATCGGGCTCTCTGCTCAGCGGGGAGCCTGCTTCCTCCTCTCTCTCTGCCTGCCTCTCTGCCTGCTTGTGATCTCTCTGTCAAATAAATAAATAAAATCTTTAAAAAAAAAAAAAACAAGTAGGCAAGGGTGTCCTTCCTCCCATCGCTGTCTGCTTTGTTGGTAGAACCACTGTGGACTCTAAGAAATCACGTCCTCTTAAAACTGACTTTGAACCGATGTTGCAGTTCATTACAAAAAGCAAGTGCTCTCGCAGATACTTACTTGCCAGGAAGGTTTTTACCTTGAACACCTGCGGGTTGGAAAACCACCCCAGTACATGCCACGAAAGCTCTGCCTGATTCAGTCTCTGTTGATTCATACGAATCAGGTGATTAGGTTTTGGCATTTACTGGCAATGAATTTGCTTTCTTTAGTCCCTAATGTGATCATGACAATTTCATAAAATCATTATAGCAAATTACCAAATACCTGTTACATTGTTCATTTCACCGCGTGTCACGGCTGGCAGAGGCTCAGGTAATTTAGATGCTTGTGATCTTCTAAATGGTATTACACTCTCAACTGTACCCTAGGGTCCAAATCCACATTAACTAACTGACAAAAAATTATAATTTTATCCGAGGCAACACAAAAGGGCAGGACTGTGGCAGGCATAATAAAACATCCCTTAAATAAAGAGATCTGAGATTCCCCCGAGCACCAGCTCAAATAAGCCCGCTACCCCTAGTTAAAAGACCCGCCAGTCTGCCATTAGTTAGGGGCTAGTTCAGGAAACACCGTCCGACTGTGTAGCTAGAAGACCTCACTGGTGCTTTATAGGAAGGAGCTCGTTGCGTTCTTTGGAAACGTGTGCTTGCACACTCCCTCGCTTGGTATTTCTCCGTGAATTAAGAAACAGATTTCTATCAATAATGCCGGAGATGAAGGTACTCCACTCAGGAGCCTGACGCGAGGCTCGATCCTGTGACCCCGAGATCAGGACCTGAGCTGAACAAGAGTCAGACACTTAGCTGACTGAGCTGGCCAGGCACCCCCCGCCTTTAGAAATTCTTAAGGTTCGCTATGCATCAAATGGTTTCAAGTTACTGTTCATATGGTATGTTATCATAAATTCTGTTGACATAAAATTACAGTCAAGTCCAAAACTAAAGTAGCTTCTCCTCTGTATGATCAAGCAAGTCTAGCGCTGGTGAATCAGTTCCTTTCCTCGCTGCGGCATCCAAGCGGCTCACTCGCTCCCGTTCTCCATCCTCTTGCAGATAAAGACCATTTTGAGCGGCTTCATCATCAGGGGCTACTTGGGGAAGTGGACCCTGCTCATCAAGACCGTCACCCTGGTGCTGGTGGTGTCCTCCGGCCTGAGCCTGGGGAAGGAAGGGCCGCTGGTGCACGTGGCTTGCTGCTGTGGCAACTTCTTCAGCAGCCTTTTCTCCAAGTACAGCAAGAACGAGGGCAAGAGGCGCGAGGTGAGCAGGCTGCACTCCCGTCCGCGGTGATGGCCTCTTCTGGAAGCCCCTTCCCGGCTCCCCTGCTCACGCGGGTCTGCACGGCAGGGCTGGGGGCTCACACAGAGCTCTTTGTCCCGCAGGTGCTCTCGGCCGCCGCCGCCGCCGGAGTGTCCGTGGCCTTCGGGGCTCCGATCGGGGGTGTGCTCTTCAGTCTTGAGGAGGTGAGCAGGGGCAGTGGGTGGGGGGGCGGATCCGCCAGTTCGGGGGGCTGAGGATGGCTACCGCAGAGGTAGTGACAAGATTCCTGCCGCTCGTTAAGAAGCCGCGATTTTCACTGTTAAATATGTTTTCAAGTATTATTTTAAAAATCGCCAATGTAATTATTATTATTATTATTATTTTTTGGAAGTTTGCAGTCTCCTTCTCCTAACCAACTTAATGAGGCATTTCTGTTTTTGGCAACCCAAACGGATCTATTCCAGGGATCAGCAAATGTTCTCTGCAAAGGGCCAGCGAGTAAATATTCTGGGCTCTGTGGGTTTTCCGGTCTTGGGTGGAACTACTCGGCTTTGTGGTTGCAGCGGAAAAGCCTCCACACACAACACTCACACGAGCGGGCATGGCTGCATTTCTTTTTTTAAATTTTTTTTTAAAGTTTTTATTTATTTATCTGACAGAGAGATAGCAAGCATGGACAGGGGGAGGGGCAGAGTGAGAGGGAGAAGCAGGCTCCCCGCTGAGCAAGGAGCCTGACTCGGGACTCAGTCCCAGGACCCCGGGACCATGACCTGAGCCGAAGGCAGGCACTTAACGACTGAGCCACCCAGGCACCCTTCTGGCTGCATTTCAATAAAACTTTCTTTGTGGCTGCTAGAGTGTGCATCTTATATAATTTTCACATGTTACAAAATATTGCTTTTGACCATTTCAAAGCTCACAAAATATTTCTTTTTGACCCCCAGCATTTAATAACGTAAAAAAAAAAAATTCTTAAGTCATGTGACATACAAATACATTCAGCAGGCCAGGGTTTTCCTACCCTGACCGATTCCGTTTTATTCTGTAAAATCAAATCCAGAGGTTTATTCACTTTTGGGAGGGTCTTTGTGACATAAACAATATTAGAAAGAACTATTCCCATTTCTTTTACAAGAGCTCAAACACATCTGGAGTAGTATCTGCTCCACTTTAAGACACAGAGTCCTTTAAATACCTTCGTTGGTGCGTCTTGGTGGTAATGAACCCTAGTCCGAGGAAGTCGGTACTGCCCATCTTTGGTCTGAGTGCAACCGTCCCACTAAGCGCCACTGGGGGCTGCCGATCACGGGCTGGGGGCTCAAGGCAGCTCTTCCTTCAGCCAGCCTCATGTCCTCCTCGTTCGCCCCAGGTCAGTTACTACTTCCCCCTGAAGACCTTGTGGAGGTCCTTTTTCGCGGCCCTGGTGGCAGCCTTCACGCTGCGATCCATCAATCCTTTCGGGAACAGCCGCCTTGTCCTCTTCTACGTGGAATATCACACGCCCTGGTACATGGCTGAGCTCTTCCCCTTCATCCTGCTCGGGGTCTTCGGCGGCCTGTGGGGGACCCTCTTCATCCGCTGCAACATCGCCTGGTGCCGGAGGCGCAAAACCACCAGGCTGGGGAAGTACCCGGTGCTGGAGGTCATTGTGGTGACTGCCATCACCGCCATCATCGCCTACCCCAACCCCTACACGCGCCGGAGCACAAGCGAGCTCATTTCCGAGCTGTTCAATGACTGTGGGGCCCTCGAGTCTTCCCAGCTCTGTGACTACATCAACGACCCCAACATGACCCGGCCTGTGGATGACATCCCGGACCGGCCGGCGGGCGTCGGGGTCTACACGGCCATGTGGCAGCTGGCCCTGGCGCTGGTCTTCAAGATTGTCATCACCATCTTTACCTTTGGCATGAAGGTCAGTGAAGGGGATGGAGGGGCAGGGCAGGGTGGGGGGACAGGCACCCTCCTCTTCGGGAGAAAAGGGAGAGGGGGAGGGAACTGACCTTTACCAACTCTTTTCTCACGCTGGGCACTTGACATTCTTTTTAATCACGAAGATGCAATGCTTTTGATAAACAGCACGCCTGGGAACCAGACTGTAATCACTGTACAAGTGAGCAAGTGAGGGCTCAGAGTCTGTCATTCATCTGGGGCGGTGCATAGCTTCAGGAATTCCCGTAAAATGCACGCTTGTGTCAGCACCCAGGAGCCGAAGCAGAACATTTCGAACCCTGAGGAACCCCTGTAGTGTTCTGCTCCCCTTGCTTTCTGTGCGGGACTTTCATGATTTGTTTCATTTTAAAAAGGCTAAGCAGCTGTGTACTCGAGTGGGTAATGGTCAAACAGAAATCTGAATTTTGGCCTTAGGGGCGAAGACGGGTGGACTTTTAAACAGCCAGCGTCTCCCCTTCACTGTCTCCCAGCAAAGGGATTGTTTGTGCGTCCAAGAGAGATGTCAGCAGCCTCTTGTGCCCACTGAGAGGGGTCTGCTTTGCGGTTATAGGGAGTTAAATGACTAGGAATTGGGGGGCCACTCAGAGCACCATCCCAAAGACTAGAAATCACCCTCGAGGATCCAGACTTGCCTGGAATTTGGTTACAAATCCACTTGCAGCCTCAGATCGATGACTGTCCTGGGCCACTGCCAGGCGGGATCGGCGATCCCGTGCAGTCTCCATGAACACGGAGGGTCAGGCACGCGCTCTGGCCCACGTCCGATCCCCCAGAAGTGAAAACGCGTTTCCACGCAGCAAAATGTGAAGCGCGCCGCCCCCAAGATCTTGCAGTTTACACAGTCCGGTTCTTTGCTGCCTTTCACCGGCTTGAACATACTCAGAATACTTCTGGGAAAGTACTTCATTAGGAAGGGGGGACGGCCCCCGTCTCTCTGACAGGTGTGGCACCACTGTGTCCTCACGGGGACCATGAGCCCGTGGAAAGCTTCCGAAGGTGCTGGGCGCCGCACTGGGCTGCTTGGTGTGACCCGTGAACAGTTGCACGCCTTCCTTTTCCATTCCCCTGCTGTGGCTTCACGTTTAATGGTAAAAGCTCATGTGAATGACGCCCAGGGGAGAGAGGAGGGTGAGTATTTGCAGGGGTCATCATCCTTGAATCCCCAGCAGGAGAAGCAGGCCGGGTTTTGAAGGAGAGGTAGCAGAAGTGTAAAGTCATGTTCTGTCCGAGACACAGTAGCTAGGACTGACCAGATGGGTTAAGCCACTTGTCCTCTTTGGTCCACACCGCTGACCCTCCGTTCGGAAGCGTTGTGCCCCCTCTGAAGACCAGCGGGGCGCAAGCCCTTGGAGGGGGGGATTGATCACCGGGAGTGGGGAAGCGGGGCTGCGGCCTCCTTCCCTCATACTTCCCTTCCCTGTGTGCCCCCCGGAGATCCCCTCAGGCCTCTTCATCCCCAGCATGGCGGTGGGAGCCATGGCCGGCAGGATGGTGGGAATCGGCGTGGAGCAGCTGGCTTACCATCACCACGACTGGATCGTCTTCAGGAACTGGTGCAGGCCCGGAGCGGACTGTGTCACCCCCGGACTTTATGCCATGGTGGGAGCAGCAGCCTGCCTAGGTACAGCCCCGACTGGGGCGCAAGGGAAGGGGGGCCAGGCCAAGCGCCGCCACCAGCCGCTCTGAGTTAGGGAACCGGGGAGAGGGAGGACATGGCCTCGAGTGTTGGCTTTCCCAGGACAGGCCGTGTTGTGTCGCTGTCGCATGTAAGGCCCTAAATCTCAGTGGCTTATCACACGGGGGCTTGTAGCTTGCTCGCGATACGCAGTGGGTTCTCATTATTTGCGGAGCCCACATTTGGGAATTGGCCTCCTTGCTAAAACCTGTGACCCCTAAGTCAACACTTGGGGTGCGTTTGCTGTGTCATCCTCAGACACGTGCAGGAGCAGCGGAAAGTGCGAGGTGTCTAGTGTGTGTGCTCCCAGCTCCGGGTGAACGAGGTGGGGAGGCCTGCCCTCTTGTCACAGCTCGGATACTCTACACACGTGGCCATTTCGTGGTCTATTTGCATTTTGCGAATGATTTTGTTGTTTTAAATGGCCCCCAGCCATAGTGCTAAATACAGTCTGTCTGGGCGTCGTACGCACAAGAAGGCTGCGATGTGTCTTATGGAGAAAATAGGAGGGTCACAGAAGTCTTCTCACACAGGAGTTTCAGTCTGCGGGCCGTGCATTCAGTGTTTGGGAATCATCTATGTGTGTTAAATAAGGTGTCTTTCAATAGAAATACACAGGAAATAGGTTCTGTATTGGTCGGTCGACCAAAATGGTGTGAGCAGAAGCTCATAGAAACCCAACCTTGTGTTTTCCCCAGAGCAGTGATTCAGCATTTCCTCCTTCCGTATTTGTGGCAACTTTGTAGATCATGGCTACCATGAACAATGAGACTCGACCCTGTGTGTGCATGTGCACACGTGCGTGTGTTCGTGTAGTGGGAGTGGTTGGAAGCTTCTTTCCACTCAGTCATTCAGGGCCTGGGTGAGGACGTAGTCTCCACCATGTTGCGGCCGCGCCTTCTAGAATACTGGTTTTCAACCAGGGGCAGTTGTGCCTCTCGGGAACACTGGGTGATGGAGGGGACATTTTTGGTGGTCACACCTACGGGGCGGTGCAACCGGCATCTAGTGCCTGGTGGCCGGGGATACCACCGTAGAACACAGAACACCCACCCGAGTTGTCCTAGTGCCGAGGTCGAGAAACCCCAGTTCAAGGTCACTGGAAGACTCGTAGGAGTTGGAATGGATACCAGGGGACCCACAGTTGGGTCCCTCTCCTGTCCATAGCCGCTAAGAATCTCTGCGGTTTCCCAGCTTACGGGGTTCTGGAACAGAACCACATTTGCTGTGTCAGAGCCCTGCCTAGCCCACTCACCCGAAAGCCAGGCTCATGGTCTTGGGTGAAGAGCCGGCCCAGTTGTCTTCTCACCGAAGAGCCCCCCAGGCAGCTGTGACTACAGCCCCCTGAGGTCGCGCTGGTTCACCAGAGCTTGGCCGGCATTCCAGAGGTCTGTGCTGGGCGACATGCTGGACCGTGTCTTCGGAACAGGTGTCTGGAGGCTTTAGAGGCAGCTTGTCCGTTTCCACAGTTCATGCCCTCCTGAGGGTCTGGAGTTGAGCTTCAGAATTGTATCTTGTCTTTGGTTGCAGGTGGAGTTACCCGGATGACGGTGTCATTGGTGGTCATCATGTTCGAATTAACAGGTGGTCTAGAGTACATTGTGCCCTTGATGGCGGCAGCCGTGACCAGCAAATGGGTGGCCGACGCCTTTGGGAAAGAAGGCATCTATGAGGCTCATATCCACTTGAACGGGTACCCATTTCTGGACGTGAAGGACGAGTTCACCCACCGCACGCTGGCTACCGACGTCATGCGGCCACGGCGGGGCGAGCCGCCTCTGTCCGTGCTCACCCAGGACAGCATGACCGTGGAGGATGTGGAGACGCTCATCAAGGAGACCGACTACAACGGCTTCCCCGTGGTGGTCTCCAGGGACTCCGAGCGCCTCATTGGATTTGCGCAGAGGCGGGAGCTGATCCTCGCAATAAGTGAGTAGAGGAAGGGAAGCTCAGGCTGTACTAAGAGGCCAGGGCCGCCTTTGTCCCCCCTGAATTCCCGAAGAGGTTAGAGAGTGCCAAGGTCAGAGGGCTTTAAGCTGGGGCTCTCACACTTTCTCGAGCCTATTCAAGGAGACTCTGCATTGTGCTGAGCTCCTGGTTCATGCTGCTGCTGCTGCCGGTCCCCAGGTCCCACCATGAGGAACGATGTCTAGGGAGAGACCTGCTTGGCTGGAAAGTAACAGCCACATTTGCACGTGGCCTCTGGGGCTCGTCCCTTCTAGGTGGCCCATGGCCACCACTGCCTTTTTAGGGAATTGTCAGGTGAAGCTGGGAAGGGTGGAGGCGGGGGAGCCCGGATTGGCCCTGGCGAGCTGCTCTCGGCGACAGGCTTTCCGACGGGCTTCCCGACATCGAGGGTGAGTTCTTTGCCCCAGCCGCCTCCCGGGCCACCGCACAAGCCCTTCACTTGGCTGGTGGCGTTAGGTCCCACCCCACTACTCAGAGGCCCGCCTGAGGCAGTTCCGTGTGATGCGTTTCCTCCCAGTGTGCTGGCTGCAAGCGGCGGGGCCGAGGGGCAGGCTGTCGAGCTGGGAGAGGAGCGAGCGGGTGATGCCCGGGTGCGGGGTGCCCAGGATGGTGGCCCAGAGAAGCAAGTCTGCCGGCCCCGCAGCCTAGGGATGCGTGCACTGAAAGGGAGGTGGGAGGTAGGATTCCCGAGAGGCCTGGGTGTGAGCCACACGGAGACCTAGGAAGAAGGACAGCGAGCCTTGGAGACCCCCTTCAGGCTGGAGTCCCGCTGGCGCACGTGAGGTGGCAGGACAGGGACCAGCAGAGCCCCCCACCCTGTGTGCGGGCCGGGGCCAGGGCCATCCTGTGCAGCCCGCCTGCTGCCGTGATCTCCCCATCCCAGTGTCTCATGGCGGAATGGGGCCCACGACATGGCTTGTGTGGTTGCTTGATGATTTTCCCGCGTATCCCATCTTCCAGGGCGTTCAACAAGTTCACCAGTGGGACTAGCCAGGATAGGACTGCCTGTGACCTCCCCAGACGACCCTTTGATTATCCCTGCCCTCGGTTAAGGATTTCTGAGGCTCCCTTTCAATTTCTAAAATCTTTTTGTGATGTTGAATAGCCTTTCCAGTATCTTTGAAATACCTTCATCAAAGGCTCTATAAAAATCAGTTTGGGTAAGCCATATCCTCTCGCCTTAGGTTGTTGCTCGAATGGATTCCCCTCCCCCAAGGCAATAACTGGGTTTATATTTTGGACCCGACGGCACACTGGTGCGTCTGGGCTCAGCCTGTGCTCACGTCCTGTGGCTCAACAGTTAGGTGCCTTTGGGCGTAAATATTGCCTTCTAAATAACGAGGTTGGTTTTAAGCTGTATGAGCAGGGTTGGGTTTGTTTTTAAAATAATGTAATCAGCAGCCTTGAAAAATTTATTCAGTCCCTAAGATCTTTTAAGCAAAAGCTGAAATTTAAAGACTAAAGTGATGTCGCCGGACCCATTCCCTGTTGTGCAGCCCGAGGCGCACCTGCTACAAGACAGCTCACTAATTTCGCTGAAACCCATTACTGTAATCAAGTGGGAAGCGGTAATTGTCATCAGCCGGTTAGTGCAGAAATCTAAGCTTGCAGACGGAGCGGGCTCTTAGAAGCGATGTTTGGAATGTCTAAAGAGGCAACACGCCGTGTAAATAGTACCTGTGCTTTCAGCCAGACTGATAATAGTGTAGAAGCTGCTGTTTACGTGGTTTGTGGAAAGGCAAGGAGTGTTTCACTCTAAGCAATCAGAAAAGCTGTTTTCTCGATCTATGGAAATAGAAGAGTCCCTGTATCCTGCTGGAGAAATCTGTGACCTGTATTTGCGGAATTATGTGGCCTTTTGTGAATATAAATATGACTTTAGCATTTAGCTAGTGACTGTCTCATGCTGGTTTCGTTTTCAGGGGAATTAGTAGCAAAGATTATAGTTCAGTAGAGCCAAGGTGGTTTGAATAAGAACGGTAGATGGGGCAAATAAGGTCTTTTCTTACACATCACGTTAAAATTGTAGCAACTGAGGCACCTGGGTGACTCAATTGGTTAAGCATCTGCTTTAGACTCTGGTCGTGATCTCAGGGTCCTGGGATCGAGTCCCACATCAGGACTTCCGCTCAGCGGGGAGTCTGCTTCTCCTTCTACCCCTTCCCCCTGCTTGTGTCCTCTCACTCTCTTTCTCAAATAATAAAATCTTTTAAAAAATTGCAGCAGCCGCTCCCGTGAAGCTGAAAATGTTATTTTCCAGCCATCTCTGGAATGCCAAACTGCAGCCAATGTCCTCGCCAGGGAGCGGTTAGCCCCACGTAGGACATGTGGCGCCCTTCCCCATCACGTTCGGACACATGGGGCTGCGTGTGACCCATGTGTAAATTCCCCGTAAATGAGACTCTGCCTCTCAGTGCTGTTTGCAAATACTAGGCTCTTTCTGTGCTTAGCAGGGCTCAGACTCTTCCAGTCTTGAATTCTGCAATTAGGTGAGGATGGGTTCCGAGAGGGCTCAGCGGGAAGCCGCAAAGATGATTAAAGGGACGGAAAGTTAGAGTCACAGGCAAGAGTTAAGGGGAACCCTCATTTTTTTCGTCTGGTGGGTGATTTAATGATGATTCTGCAGCATGTGGAAGATGCTTGCTTGCAGAAAGGGGTCTGTGACCAGAACTGAACCTCTTGTCAGAGCTGTTGGAAGGGCTGTTGAGGGATAAAGCGGTTTCTTCCTGGGAGGGCTGTTCTTGACCCGCACAAGCCATGGAGAACAGCGCTGTCATCTGCTGCCTTCTGCTGGGGCTTGAACACATGTACAGAGGGACTTCTCCGGGCTGCTGTCTGCTGTAGCTTATCATAGAATCATCTGGTTGTTCTTCGAAATAGTTTTTATTTTATTTTTATCACATATATAGTTTCAGTTTTTCTCTGCAGCCTTTTTAGTTAATGGCGTCTGTTACATGGAAGCATTTTTGATGGACAGGATGAGAGTGCTTTCCCAAGTCGGGCTTCTCAGCCTTCACGCTATTGACACTTGGGGCTGGATCGTTCTTTCCTGTTGGATGTTGAGCAGTATTCTTGGTCTCTGGCTGCCAGCTGCTGGTAGCACCCCCATCTCCCAGTGATGACAAGCAAATATAGCTCCAGAAAGTTCCAAATGTCCCCTGAGGGTCAGGGCAACCTTGCTCCCAGTTGAGAACCGTTGCTCTAAAAGCCACAGGACTAGCTACTGCATATGTGATTATTTCCAGCCTTCAAATTCCTCGGTGTATCAGAGTTTGTGAAATTTACTTTACCGGCACTCTGTGCCTGGTGTTGTCATCATATTGTCCACTAGAAAGTGGAAAATGTACCTCGTTCTTCAGGAGCTGTAGCCCCTGATACTAGCTCGGGTAGAATAGATAACTAAGCTCTTGTATTAAGAACAGCTTAATTGATCTTTAAAACAATTAAAAATGAAGTTTATGACATTTTTATGTGTTTGCTTATTTTAAAGATTTTATTTTTTCTTTTTTCATTCGAGAGAGACAGAGCGAGCACAAGCAGGGGGAGAACCCGAGGGAGAGGGAGAAGCAGACACCTTGCTGAGCTCTGAGCTTGACATGGGGCTCGATCCCAGGACCTGGGGATCACGAGCTGAGCTGACAGCAGACACTTAACTGACTGAGCCACTCAGCCATCCCTATTTTTAAAGAATTAATACATATTCACAGAATATTGGGGAAATCAGAAGCAAAAGGGAAAATAAAAAAAAGCACCCACTTTCTCAACAGTATAGAAGGCCATGGTTAACGTTCTGGTGCATTTCCTTCTTAGCTCATGGGCCTTCTACATACGTAAACATTGGGCCTTTTCGGGGGGTTCTTTTTTGACTCTGGCTTCCGTGAGTCCCTAGGGCCTGGGAGTCTATGCTGTTGTAGCCCCGGATCATTCCCAGGGTGGGGAGTTGTTTTAAGCTTTCCGGCACGATCTATGTATGTCTTGTGCAGCCTCCATGTGCAGGCATTGTTCTGGTCGCTGGGAGGGCAGGGAGCAGGAGCCGGTGACCGCCCTCTGTGAGCATGCGTGCTGGCCTCTGTTGCGGGCCTCCTGGTGACTGATGGAGGTTTCTTGCCCCAGTTGGGGCTAGATGGTTGGACCTAGCAGAGGGCTGCAAAAAGCTTTCTCGCTGGTCCTTCCATTCATCAGTTTTTGGCCTGTATGTAGCCTGTTGGAAGCGTTCAGCTAAGTCTTGATAGGACAGTTCCAGAGTGGCCTAGCAGAGCCCTTCCAGAGTAGCCAGGAACATGGCCTGCATCTCTGGCTCCGAGCCCAGCTGGTGCCTTCGATTCTTTTCGGCAGCGAACAGCTCGTGGGCTTTCCTTCCCGGGGTCTCCCCTGTGAAACGGGCTGTCCCACACTGCCGGAGGGACCGAGCACGCGGACATTTAGTAGAACCACTCGCTCATTCGTTCCCCTGTTGACTGATTCATGCACGCGTTTGGTAAGCATCTATTGTGTGCCTCCTGTATACCAGGCCTTGTCCAGGCCCTGGGAACGCACTGGCGAGCCGGGAACCGGGCATCGCCGAGCTAGCTGCTGATAGAATCGGGGCTTCTAACCTGATCAGGACACTCGGAGGACACGGAAGGTGGTTCTCTATTTCGACAGGTGGACTGATGGTCACTCAGTTGTGTTTGGTCTTATGAGGGGCTCAGCAAATCCTCGTTTCAGTTCTTGACTGAGGTCTGTGGCTTGATCCAATCCCAGTGAAGACCGATCCTTGATCCAGTCGCCCCGATGGTTGAAATGGCTGCGTTCCTGTCACGTGGGACTGCGAGAGCATTCTCGGGCTGCGACAATGAGCCGTGTGTTGCTAGTCACCAGCGCACCTCAGGGCTCTGGGCCAGAACTGTTTTGATTGAGGAGAGAGATGGGCAGCGCGTACCATGCAGTGTCCACACTTGAAAAACACGTGCCTCTGCGTCCTCTGGTATTTGTGGTCGAATCCCAGCCCATTTGCCGTAACCGCATTTCCCCTGACCCACATAATGCGCCGGCATTTGCCCAGCGGGCCTACGGTTTCTTTTTTAAACAGAGACCCTTTTTCAAACTCAGCCTGACCCCGAATGCTGCCAGTTTTCCATTAGAGTACTCAGGCAGTTCGAATTTTGTTTTTCAAAGAACAATGTAGGTGAATAGTAGTCTGTGAGAAGGCCAGAGATGTATTCTAGAAACCAGGATCCATTTTAAGACAAGCCTCACTTGTACATTTTTCCTAACCTTTTCCCATGAACCAAAAGAAAGATTAAAATTCCAACAGAAGGAAAATTGCCTTGGAGAAATATCTTGAGACCAATGGATTTATTTCACGTGTGACTTAAAATAGCCTGGGTTTCTAGTACTGCATAAAGCTGTATTTCTAATGAGTTCCTGTTACCCTACTTTTCTTCGGCTTGCGTTTGCATGTCCTTGCCTACAGATAGAAAGAGCCTCATTGTTACCATAACAGTTTTATTATCTTTCTTTGAGGAATCCCCAGAATGATCCATTTTTAAGAGAGGCCATCCAGGAGGTGGGGGCATGGTGGCTTTTCTGGAGTTATTTCTTTGGTCCCAAGGGCCATATTTGGAATTAAGCTGCATTTCTGGGCTGTGAGCCTGGGATGGCCCTATTGGTTTTTGTTCCTTTCAGGATTCATAATGCCATTTGGGCCAGTTAAAAGTTAGTTTGTAAAAAAAAAAAAATGAAAAGAAAAAAAGAAAAACAACTTACTAAGGTCGTTGGGCAGCAACGTGTGGTTTCTTGTCATGTCCAACTTGAGCCCATGATGAGGGAGTGTTAGGAAAGCAAGGGTGGAGGGCCCTGGGCCTTCTGGGTGTCCCCGAGCCCAAGAGGAGGTAGTACATCCTCCCAAAAAAGTCGCCTTGCTCAGGCCCACGCGTCAAGACTTTGGCGACGATCGGGTCACAGCAGAGGGACCCTCACGTGGCATTAGCTTCAGAGAGATGCCAATTTTCCAGATGTTTGGCTGAAGCCCTTCATTAAGGATGTGGCATTTGCCCCCTGAACCCCTCTCTGTGGGATTGTGGGACGCGGACAGAGGGAAGGCCGCTGTTCCTGTGGCGGGGGCTGGAGGCAGTTGCGAAACAGGGGCCTCTGCGTAGCTTATTGTTCCCGCTCACCCATTCCAGAGAACGCCAGACAGAGGCAGGAGGGCATCGTGAGCAACTCCATCATGTACTTCACGGAGGAGCCCCCCGAGCTGCCGGCCAACAGCCCGCACCCCCTGAAGCTGCGGCGCGTCCTCAACCTCAGCCCGTTCACGGTCACGGACCACACCCCCATGGAGACGGTGGTGGACATCTTCCGGAAGCTGGGGCTCCGGCAGTGCCTGGTGACGCGGAGTGGGTGAGTGTTCTGGCCGGACTCCGAGGACACCAAGATGAACGAGTCATTGTCTCTGTCCCGGGGGGCCTCGTGGGGCAGCTGGTGCGAGGGGAAGGTGGGAGAAACCTGCTGGGCGGGGCTGCTGGCCGGCCCCAGGCTGAGGGTTGAGTCAAAAAGGGGAGGAGCCGAAGGAGAAGGATTTGGGCAGCTTTTCTGCTCCCCCCTGCCCTGGGTGGCACTTGGCTCGGGGAGAAGGGACAGCTTGTTGTGCTGTCACGGGGTCTGGCATGCCTCCACGAGCTGGTGCCACGCAGAAGCGGGCAGTGAAAGACACAGGCTCGTGAGGAAACGAGGGTGTGCGGGCACGCGGGGCGGACCTCACGGGGCCCGGAGCACGGCCTGTGCACGGTGCCTGGTTAGGAGCTGCGGAACCGCTACGAGACGTGGATCACTGTATCTTAAGACGCGCCAAGGGTTTTTGCAGAAGCGGATTGCGTAAGGGCGGTGGCTTGTGGGCTGTGTCCGGTGGAGCCCACGTCGGCCCTGGGCTGGGGGCGCCGGCGGCCCGTGCCGTCTAAGGTCACACAGAACTTGACTCCCCCAAAACCTGACTGCGGGTAGCCTACTGTTGACCAGAGCCTTACCGATAACGTGAGCGGTGCATTAACACGTATTTCGTCTGAACATGTATTACACGCTGTAGTCTGGAAGCCAGAGGAAATGGGACTAAGAAAATCACAAGAAAGAGACAGTTCATTTACAGTACCGTCCTGCATGTTTCGAAAAACATTTGCATGTAGGTGGACCCATGCGGTACAAACCCTTATTGTTCAAGGGTGGCCTGTATTCCCGTGCCCCTGGGTTCAGCCGGGGGCAGCTCTCTGCAATCACCTGGAATTTCTCATGGATGACGTGACCCATAAGCAGATGTGAAGTTCACATCATGCTCGGATTGTTCCCTGATACAGCAGTCGGTTCAAGACAACCTCTTGTTTTCAGAACAGCTGTCCCCGAGTTGCTGGGAGATCTGGTGGCCTCATGGCATTGTCTCTGCCGTGACAGTACTACATTTGCTTTGTGTTACCACGAGCCAGGAAATTAGCATTGCACAGACTGAAGGCTCATGGTGGTGTGAGAGGTGCCGTGCCCCAGGGCCATTCTTTGGGCTCAGAGGTACAGCCCAAATCCCACGTCTTCACAGGCCTGGGTAGAGGAATAGACTGGCCCAGTCAGGGTAGCCGGGAACCTTGGGTTGCCGCCCAGCGTATTCTCTGTAGGCTGAGGGGAGGGGGTGGGGCTGCAGGGACGCTGATACCCTGTGTCGAGGCCTTAACTCTCTAACGTCAGTTACACTGCGGAGCCCACCGTCCGGCTTCACCGAGCACTTCTCACCCAGGGTGATGTTGCCCCCCAAGATGATGGGTGTCCTTGCTAGAAAGAGGGGATGCTCCTCGCACTTTGAAGGTAGAGATCGGGGATGTCATTCGGAAGCCTGCTGTGCACGGGGTGGCCCGCATTGCATCAGAGACTCACTGGCCCGGAAGGCCACTTGCTCTGAAGCTCAGTGACTGTGGACTAGGTGCCCATGAACATCCAAGTGAGCCCTCCTTACTCCCTTGCTTCCTTCCTGCCGTCCTGGCTGTGCAGAACCCCGAGCCTGCACGCCCGGTGTCCTCAGCTCCAGCTGTAGCGGGGGGCGGGGGCGTTGCACATGGGAGGGGCTGTCGGTAAGCGACGAATACAAGTTTGGGACTGGAGATCGCTTCTGGTGGTGATTTTTATTTTTATTAACTAATTAAGTTAATTTGTAAAAAAGATTTTATTTATTTATTTGAGAGAGAATGAGAGAGAGCATGAGAGGGGAGAAGGTCAGAGGGAGAAGCCGACTCCCCGAGAAGCTGGGAGCCCGATGCGGGACTCCAGGAGCATGACCTGAGCTGAAGGCAGTCACTTAACCAACTGGGCCAGCCAGGCGCCCTATTCATTAATTTTTTCGCTGGTGATATTTAAAGGTACTCAGTGGGTCACAGGATCTCCCAGAGTATTACAGCTCCAGGCTAAACGTGGAGTGCCGGGGCCAGTGCAGCCACTGATCCCTCGGCTGGGGGTGGGGCCTGTGAATGTGTGTTTCTAGCAAACACCCAGGAGCTGCTGCTTGCTTGTCCCGGACTCCACTTTGCAGAATGCCGAAGCCTATTTACATACTTGAATTTCCAGCGCCCGGCGTAACTACCACTGTGATCACCCAGGGCGTCTCAAGTGAGTCGCCATTTCTCTTTTCCTTTAAAAAAATAATCATCCAATGTCAGTTATCATTGGAATTTCTAGTTCTGGCAGGAAATTCTGCCCTTACCGCCCGCTCACACCTCACGCAGCCCCATGAGGTTTTCCTGTGAAGATCTGGGTGCCGAAATTGGCTCCGAATGTTCTGCGAGAAAACAAAATCGCACTCTCTCTCGCTCTGCATATTTTAAACAAACACAGATGCTGATGCGTTACTGCTGGCAAGGGAGCCCAGTCTGCGGGGCTTTCATCTCCTCGGGCTCACGGCCAGGGCCGCCGTGGCCTGAGCCAGCTTGCGTGTTTGATGTACTCCGTCACCATGTGCCTTCCCTGCTCGCAGAGAGAGCCCCGGCTTGTCCTGTGGACCTGCCTCGGCGGCAGGATTTCTTGGGGCCTGGGCCCCAAGGTCATGGCGAAACCACGCCAGGAACCACAGAAGGCTTTGTCCCCAGGAGGCTTGAGTCTCTGGAGCCTCCAGTGGCTAACTAAGCCCGTATTGCATTTCGGTGGGATTCTCCCCACAGAGGCTCTCGAAGGCCAAAGCGGGCGCAGGGGAGGGGGGACGTCGAATCAGCTTTCCCCAGGCCTGCTAGGTGGGCCCCCAGGACTTGGACGGGGTGGCCTTCTCAGAAGAGCCCGGCTGTTCTAACTGGATATGTTCATGGCCACGGACTGGCCATTTGTCATTCCCTCGATTGACTTGAACTGCAACCCAAAGGGGCCAGAAGGTCAGACACTCGATTTACAGTAAGTCCCGTCCCACCACTACGATCTCTGCCGGCTTTGACGTTGTCTCCTCCCGGGTGGGTGTTCAGCCTTCCTCTTTTGCAGTAATTGTTGTAGGCCAAGGCACAGTTTATGCCCAAACCCGAGACCGCTCTGAGTTCCTGTTTCCCCAGAAGCATTGTGAGCAGCTCGACGTTCCGTGTTTCCAGTTACAGAGTTTGAAGAGGAGGTCGTCCACGCTGCCCCGGGGGGAAGAAGGGCAACCACACCAGGCTTCACAGATACGGGAGGGGTGGTGTGTGACTGTGTGTGAGTGTGTGTGTGTGAGAGAGAGATAGCGGAGTCCTCGTCCCTTTGCTAACACTAACAAGCCCTACTTTTTCAAAGTCACATTCGCTTCAGCACCATCTTATAGGGCGCCTCTCTGAGACCTGGTGAAGGCTCAAAAGTGTCCAAAAAATAATAAAGCCGAGAGCTCGTCATCTGCTAGGAGACATGGACATAACCCAGTTTGGGCGGCTTGACCCCGGTATTCTAGAGGGCAGGGTCCTGAGCCAGGCTTTCAAGGAGAAAATGGCAAAGGACAAAAGAGCGGTGTCAATCGGGAGGCTGTTGGCTAGTTGGTGATCGCCAGCAGGAGACCCCCCCACCTTCCCCCCCACCTACCCCCTTCCCTCCCACTGCCCCCCCAAGCACCGCGGAGACCCGCCCCTTAGCTGCCCACCCCCATGCACCCTGCTGCTCACGCCACCTCCCATTTCTCCTCTGACCCCAGCTCCTATGGCGTATTATAGGCCCATGTTGGTCGCCTTTGTACTGTCCCCTTTTTTTTTTTTTTAAATTTTAAATGCGATGGAAGAACTGTTGTGGACTGAATTGTATCCCCCCAGATTCATATGTTGAAGCCCCCCAGTCCACCGTGACTGGATTTGGAGATGGGGTCTTCAATGCGGTAATTAGAGTTAAATGAGGTCCTCAGGTTGGGGCCCTAATCTGATAAGACTGGTGTCCTTACAGGGACAGGAAGAGGCATCAGGGATGTGCGGGCCTGGGGAGAAGCCAAGTGAGGGCTGCGAGCCAAGGAGAGAGGCCTCTGGAGAAACCGAACCCCCCAGCACCTTGATCTGGGCTTTCTGGTGTCCAGGATCATGAGCGCAGTCACCACCCAGCCCGTGGGGCTTCGCTGTGGCCGCCTGAGCTGAGTCAGGACCCTGACTCCGTGTGGCCACTTTAGTAGAACAGCGTCTTGTTTGATGGGACATCGACAACCTTACTGCATTCTGATACCCTCTAGAAAAGTCCTTAAAGTAACGTATGAACACAGTTGAAGCCAAGTAGCTCTGAGCAGCTAGAACAGAGAGTGATGCCTGGTTCTACCCTTCTGCGCTGGCACCCCTCTCCTTTCCGGGGACTACTTTTCTCCCACAAGGGTTTGTTTTCTTTAATTAATAGACTATTTTTAGAGCAGTTTTGAGTTTATAGAAGAATTGAGCATGAAGTACAAGGTTCCCATATACCCTCTCCTGTCCCCTCAATTTCCCTTACTAGTATGTTGCATATGTTACATTTGTTGCCTTTGAGGAACTGATACTGGTACATTAACTCCCGTCGGTAGCTTACCTTAGGGTTCGCCCTTGGTGTGGTACATTCTGTGGGTTTTGATAAATGGAGAATGACCTGTATCCACAGAGTGGTTTCTCTGCCCTAAAAATCCTCTGGGCCCCACCTCTTCGTCCCTCCTTCCCTCCCCCAAAACCAGGCAACTACTGATCTCTTTACTGTCTCCATAGTTTTGCCTTTTCCAGAGTGTCCTAGAGTTGGATGGGGCCTTTTCAGACTGGCTTCTTTTGCTTAGTCACATGCATGTAAATTTCCTGCATGGCTTTTCATGACTTGACCACACATTTCTTTATTAGCGCTGAATAATGTTCCATCACCAGGAGGGGCCACAGTTTAGGAATCCAGTCACTCACTGAAGGACATCTTGCGTGCCGCCAAGGTTTGGCAGCTCTGAGTGGAGCATACATCTTCTAAGAGTTAAGGAAGTTACTTTATGTCACCACTAAACTGTAATTATAGAGAATTAACAGTGACTCAGTATATCATTCAATATCTGATTTATATCAATTTTCAACCCAGAATTCTTTCAAGGTCCACACATTGCATTTGGTTGTTTTGCCCCTTTAGCCTTTCATCTAGAACACTTTCCTGCCTTTTTTGGTGTGTTATTTATGACACAGTTTTTGTTTTTGTTTTTGTTTGTGAAGAGTCTGGAATCAGTAGTCTCACATTGGGAATCTGTTTGATAGCTTCCCGGTGGTTTGATTTGGCTAAGTTGTTTCTGGTGATGTGCCAACATAAATGATGTCACAACGTCAGCTTTTCCAGCTTTGTTGGTGATAAGCTCTGCCACTTAGATGAGGTGGTGGGGACCAGAGCCCTCCGCTGAGAAGGGACATTTTTCTCTCTGTATGTAATCTGTCTGTGGAGGGATCCTGTGAGACCAGGCAAGTTTTTTGCTTGCCAGTAACCATTTGCCCAGTGGTTTTGGAACCCATGGATGATTACTGACTAAACTAATTATTACAACAGGCGTTGCAAAATGTCCATTTGCTGATTCTGTCTCACTTTGTATGTTTCCTTCCATTTCTTGGAGCCTCACAGCAGAGTCATGATGCTTGCAGGATTTTGACATCCATGCTTTTCAAGTCCCCCTTTGCTATCTTCCCCTCTCCTGCAGACGTTCCTGTGAGGGAGAGGGGAACAGGCAGTACCCGCTGTCTCCCCCGGGTCAGAGGTACGCAACTAACACTGGAAAACAATCGCTTTTTCAGGGTTGGTTAAGGGCTGTGTGGTCAGGGACAATTCTGGCCTGACAGTTTCACTACCCAGCATGCATTTCACCAGCGGCAACTGAGTCCCGCATGCAGCCCCGGATGCTAGTGTTCCCTCTTCATTGTCCCTTCTGTTGCATGGGAGATGAATTTGACCAATTTGGCCTTAAATAAATCACAGAGTGTATTGCATTTGTGTTTTCTGATTTGGGGGTATCTCATTATTTTACATCGATACAGAGTAGAAATCTTTCATTTTATTAACTACACATTATTCCAGGGTCAGCCTGACCCTGTTTAGTTCTCCTTCTGTTTTTCTTGGGTGTGCGGGCTACCTGGCAGACCGATTTGGCCAGTGGAACTTTCTTTCTCTAAAGAAACTGTGCACATCCTCTTCCTTCAAACCTTTTACTTTACCGAGGGGGCAGGGTTTGTCCCAGCAGGTGGTCATTTAAGTAGTTAATAAAATCAAGATTGAGGGGGCGCCTGGGTGGCTCAGTGGGTTAAGCCGCTGCCTTCGGCTCAGGTCATGATCTCAGGATCCTGGGATCGAGTCCCGCATGGGGCTCTCTGCTCAGCAGGGAGCCTGCTTCCCTCTCTCTCTGCCTGCCTCTCTGTCTACTTGTGATCTCTCTCTGTCAAATAAATAAATAAATAAATCTAAAAAAAAAAATCAAGATTGAGTAAGGGCTGTGGGGTGTGGTTGCGCAGGTGTGTCCTGTGCAGTCTGGGGCATGTGTTACATTGTCGTGTTTGCAAACGGCACTCCTTGGGGTTGTGCAGTGTGTAGTCTAGGGCCCTTAACGCAAGGAGCCCTGTTAAGAGGCCTTGTTTTCGTAAGTTGAAAACAGTGGAATTTTGGAAGAGGGGTCATTTCCGTTTATGGCGAGAAATATGAATGTTAAACTTTACCCGTCCACTATGTTAGACTTAAAATAGGATCACTTGGATCCTTCTACTTGGAATTTCTGTGGCCCAGTTTTGACAAAGGCTTTCACAATTGATTTTTTCAATTGATTATAGTCCTGAAATTTAGGCGAGCGTATTAGTCACTATAGGTTTCTTGCTGTAATTAACAAGCTTGCCATCTCAGTGGCCTAACACGGTAGTGATTCATTCCCCCCCACGTCACGTCCAATGTGGGTTTCAGCAGGTATGGGCTCTCTACCATAGAGTCATCCAAGGACCCAGGTCTTTGAATCTGGTGGCTGCTAAGTCAGTCCTCTGTGACCTCAGAGTCCTTCATTGGCTCCCCTGCCTGTGGCCACCAGTTGAGGAGAGAAAGTGTCTGGAAATGTGCAGGTGACCTGGGAAAGGCATCTCTCCTCTCCACCTACATGCCATTGGCCAGCGCTCACTAACTTGTCCCCACCCGACTGCAGGGAAAGCTGGGAAATGTCTCTGTGCATCCAGGTGGAGAAGGCCCTGGGGTTTAGGGCAGGCAGGAGTCAATCTTGCAAAGCTGACCTCTTTTCTCTATTTTGTTTCTTCTCCAGGAGACTTCTTGGCATCATCACGAAAAAGGATGTCTTGAGACATATGGCCCAGATGGCAAACCAGGACCCTGAATCCATCATGTTTAATTAGAAACAAGGTGGCATTTATTTTGAGAAAAACACAACCGTGTCATTTTAAAAGAAATAAACAAATGTTATGTTATTATCCTAATGAACGATTGTGCGCTGGGGGCAGTGGAAACAAAAGCTTTGTTGGAAAGGAAGAAGGATGAAATCTTTTTTTTTTTTTAAAAAGAGAGAGACATCAATGAGTAGGCATTTCATAGCTTTAACCCCTTATGAGTTTCCAGCTGTGTTTCTTAATGAGTTTATTAACCGCCGTCGGGGCATGGGGGTGGGTGTAAACAATAATGGCTCGTACAAGGACATGGAACACAAATGCTGAGTCCAGAAATGTTTGCCCCTCGTTTTAAGGCTGATGTTTGTGAAGCTTTGAGTCCAAAAGGCAAAGGAGTATTGGCCTGCGAGCATCTGTTATTTCTTGGTTCCTGAAGTGTTGCTGCTATTTCGTTGAATCGGACTAGAGATATCTGCACTCACTTTGTTGGAAAAGACAAAAGAAATTAAATCGGCACACAGTGAAAGCTGAAAGTTTGCCAGTGGGTTCACTCCCGACCATCCCATTTCTTGCTCCTGTTCTCGGCCCACTGTTTCACTTCTCCCATCACTTTCCAAACCAACATCCAGGGTCTCCTGCGATGATGAGTATGAAGAAATCCTTTCTCTGTGCAAGGCCAACACCTTGGGACTGCATGGTAAACTCCTGGCGTGTTTAGTGCTGCCCGTATTTCCTCCCACACAAAGGGGTTCATCCTGATTTTGAGGGTGTACACACCTGCTCGTCGTGTTGCAAATGTGTTGCATGTGCATTCCTAAATATTGAGCCATCCAGCACTTTCCATGGGCCATATCCTATGTGCTGCCAGCTTGTCGTAAGTGTGCTTTAATTTCCGAACAGCGTATGTGAGGGTCAAAACAGGCTGCCCCGTGTTACCACTTATTTTTCCTTTCGGATCCTATTAAATACGGCTGCAGAGAGGGGGAGGCATATAAAGTCTCAGTAGGAACTCCTCCAAATGGATTGCAAAAGAGATACTAAATTGATTCTAAATCTGTTCCATTATCTTCTCTGTAGGATGCAAAACGTCTGGCGTTAGTGTCTGAGTGTGCACTTTCGTGCTTGTACGCGGAACACAGAAGGGCAGAGTTAAACCATCGACAGCCAGTTTGAGCACTGGGCTTCTGTGTATTGAACTTAATGGTGCACTTGTCTCTTTAGTCAGGACTTCAGTCTTTTCTGGGAGAAGGCCTGGAGCTGTAATTTAAGTCCACGGTGTTCTCTGTGTGAGCCTGGCCGCTCCCACTTGCCCTCTCCCGTCCATCTTGGCTCTTCCCAGCTCCCTGAGCCGCCCTCACCCTGTGTGTCATTATTGGATACTGACGGGGCAGGTGTGCGTTTGGCAGCTAGTAAGAGAGTGGAGAGTTGAATGAGAAACCTGGGGGTCATGCACTGTCGACTCTCTCTGTATTATCATCAAGGATTCATGTCCTTTGGTATTGTTTTCTGCTGTCCTTTGTCCCCTGGCGTCCTTTGTCCCCTGGCGTCCTTTGTCCCCTGGCTTGCCGCCTCTGAGCCACAAGGTGGTTACTGAACTGCCGGGTAAGATGTCTGCTTCCTAGACAAGAAGAGGGAGGAGGAGGCCTGAAACAAGGGGCAGCACCCGTATTAGGAAAGCAAAATTCCCGGAGAGGCTCAGCTTACATCCATTGGCTAGAATTCTGTCACATGACTCCCCCCAGCTGCATGTGAGTGTGGGAAGGAAAGTTTGTAGCTAGACATATTATTCCCTGAATGAAATTTTGATTCTCTTAATAAGGAAGGGGATGGGTCCTGTGGAGGGAATGCTGTCCACTGGATCGGGCGCCATCATCATGTCCAGGTTGCCGTCCTTCCTGTCCTCCTTACCCTTTTCCTTTTCTTTCTTTTTTTTTTTAAATATTTTATTTATTTATTTGACAGACAGAGATGACAAGTAGGCAGAGAGGCAGGCAGAGAGAGAGGAGGAAGCAGGCTCCCCGCTGAGCAGAGAGCCCGATGCGGGGCTCGATCCCAGGACCCTGAGATCATGACCTGAACCGAAGGCAGAGGCTTTAACCCACTGAGCCACCCAGGCGCCCCTCCTTACCCTTTTCCTTGCCGAACACTCTAGACACTCTTTTCTCACCTTATAGTTTCCCACCCCTTCTGTCAGATTTGACATAGAACTACCAGTTAGAAGCCATCATTTCTTAGCCCTAATAAAAACCTAGAAACTTCTAGTTGGTGTAAGTAAATGTACTGTTGGGTTCTCTGGGTTATTAAAAAAGTTAAGTCCAACCATGCTGGCAAACTGGGAGATTTGTTTCTGTGATTGGCTGGTCTCCTCCAAACTAATACCAAATAGCCCCTTCAGTGTGGAAACACCAGTCAGTAGTAAAGTCAATCTTCGTGTCTCTTTCGCAGCCCGTGAGTATCGAGTAACAGATCCTAGTATTAGTGTTGTTGCTGGGGTTTCCATGGAACATACGCAAGTGAAGCTGGGTTCTCCTGGACTTTAAATCCTAAAAGGTCTTAAAGATGGCTTCGTGTTGTTCCCTCTTACTCCCACGTGGTCTCCCAAAGAGTATCCATTAGTCATAGCCCGGATTTAGATAATCCAGTACGCCCTTTTAGCTGAAATAAAGCGCTTCAGAAGGGAACACGAAACAGCGAACAGATAGCCAAAGGTCAGTGAAACCACAGAATTTCCTCCTCCTCCAGCTGAGGCCATGGAGGGATGAAGGGATAGTTTATTCCGGACCAAGGTCACCGAGGGATGTTATGCTGTGTCCTTCTCCCCAGTGCTTATTGGAGTGAGGTCCACAGTTCATGGGAAACCATTGGGAGTGCTACTTGACTCAGATAAACTTGTTTTCCTTCATAAGCCAAACCTCTCATTTGTGGTGGGGTTCGGGCTCTTGGCTCCAGAAGGCCAGGGTCGGACAGGTCGGTAAAGGTCAAGAATGGGGGAGTTGGCAGGGCGGCTCCCTGAGGGATTGCTTTCTTCCTCTGGAGCCCTAACTCCCCTTTGGGGTCCACTTGCCCCACCCCCCGCCTAGCCTGAGGTCTCAGACAAACTCGATGGGGGACTAGCTCCTGAGCTCTTTGTCACTCTTTCTTGTAAAGGTTCGCGGGTAGGGATTTTGAAGCTATTTGCTGTATCCAGATGAAGAACTTCCCCACTTTACCTAGTGACCTGACAAGCAAGAGGAGTACAACTGGGATGTGGAGGGAAAATAAACATTACTTAGAATAATGTGGTTTTATCTTTTTCCAGAAGCAAAGCCTTTAGACTTTTGGAGAACTTTCTGGATTCTTTCTGAATCAGTGTTTTTATGTAAATAAGCATGAACGCAGAATGGAAAAAGTTTTCCGATGAGACACATCAACTTACTTCTTATTTCTTGCCCTCCTTCTCTGCTATGAAGGAAATGTGTTGTAGAAGGACAGACATCGAATAAAGGGTAGCCCGAAAGGGACTTGCGAATTTCTTGCATTTTTCAGCGCATCCCCTGGGACCGCAGATGTGCGCAGGGCATTAGTGGAAAGGGAAATGTGTTAGAAGCAAATCACTTTCCAGAGTTTGCTGTTACAACCAGGCGATTCCCAGTTTCTCTATTTAGTCCTTCCCAAAAGACCTTAGAAAGGAGAAGACATCTCAGGAGATCTGTTTTTGGCCCGAAGACGTCACAGAAACTGAAAAATTTGTTTCGCTTAGGTGAGAAATGGTTACTTGACACCATCAACACATGCAAACCTGCTCAGTACCCTGCAACAGGTGCCGAGCTGGCAACGAGGACCGGAGGAGGGGCGCTATCGAGTTACATATCTGTAATAGTCTGCTTCATTCTGATTTCACGTGGGCAGCATTTTCTCACACCCGCCCCCCCGCCGCCACCCCGCTCTGAGCCTTTGAAATGAGTTACATGGCAGGAGAGCACGTGTTCCTAACTTCGCAACATTAACCAGACTCCATCTTCATGGGTGCAGTAATAACTATTTATTTGCCATCCTAGGTGTACTGGGAATGAGCCTACGTGCGACTTTATGACATCTGTTCGCATTCGGTGTGGGAACGACCACATAGCAACGTGGTGGTTTTTTTTTTTTTAATTGTAACCCTCTGTGTAAATGTTGGCACCTTATTAAAAAATTAAATGTTTGAACTTTACCTTTAAAAATAAAACAAGCCCCGTCCTCGAGAAGCATGTTGTAAATGGAAGAGATACTGATTTCGAAGCACGTTTCTGCCCAGTGGAACCTCTGGAAACCTGATTCTGGGGATGGCTGAAGTTAAAGCCGGATTCATTAAGATTTTCCTGTAGGACGGTGACGTCCGTGTGATCAGCTTTAAAACCCCTTGGTCTTCGCCCGGAGGCTAACGGCCAAGTAATAGTTCAGACTGGAGCTATCACATGTCCAAGGATGGGACGAGACCGCTGTCCCCAGGCCATCTGTGTCTTCACCCTGTGCACAGAGGCTGTCAGGACAGCTTGGACCGTGGTCTAACACAAATTCTGTTGCCCTTTCAAACTTTTTATTTATTACTTTGGGAATCACAAGAACTTAAACTATGTCTTCACCTACCAGTTGTCTTTTTTTTCTTTTTAATTTTCAACTTGACAAAAATATGAAGGAAAAAACAGAATGCCCACATCCCTTTGATGACCTAGAAGAGGCAGTGAGAGGGATCCCTTCTAATTCCAGAGGGGGCTGGGGATCCAGGCTGGGGACAGCTTAGGGAAGATCATCCTCCGCAGGGGGGCCCAGCAGATGCAAATGTCCTGAGGTGGGAACAGGCCTAACTTCCAGGGGCCCCACAGGGTGGGGGTGGTGGTGAGTGGCTGCAGGCTGGGTGGTGCTTGTGGAGAGAGTGTGGGGCATGTGAACTTGGTTTTGTTTTTCCCTCGGTGGGAGGCTAACACAAGCAGATACTTCCAAGTCTCACAGGGCCAGGTACAGACAAGGAGTTTAGAGGAAGGATGTGCTTTGACTTGCACTGTTCATGAACCTTCCTGGCTGTGGTACAGTGGGACCGGAAGCTGGCAATCCGGCTAGGAGGCTATTTCAAATACTTGAGTTATGATAGAGGCTTGTCCCAGAGAAGCCTTGAATTCTGGAAACATTTCTGAGGTCGAGC